ATATATTCTAAAAGAAAAAAAAGAAACCAAGGCATTTTTATTCAAAGCAATTAAGAAAACAGCAATTTCTAAATCGAAAGAACGTTTTTAGTGTGTGTGTTGGGGAGGGATACGTATGGATTGGAGAAAGTCTCCCTGTCTGGCATATGTCAATGGTGACAGGTATGGCGTCTGAGTGTGGCAATTGAATAAATATACGTGTCTAGAAATTCCCCTTTCATTCAGTTTTTTTTTCTTGAAACGGATTATCATCCAAGTCCGCTGAGAAGTCCCCTCTTTCAACCTCAAACTTTTCGTAATACTGATTGACAGCGCCACTTTGTGTGTGTCGCCTATCAGTAGCAATGGTTGGTTGAAAGTGGTATCTGGAAATTTTCACACCTGTCTTCCATCCCGAATATCGGATGAATAAAAGTCGCTCAAGTCAGTTGACTACATGATTTTAGTAGTAGTAGGAATAGTTGTATTTAATGCAAGTTAGAGAATTGAATAGACAACAAATGACTTCACGAGGATTTAAACCTAGTAAGAAAAGTGCATACGTTGTTATCAAGAGTTTGGAAACTCATCTTTCAGTATATAATGACAGCTTGGTTTCATAGCTGAACATGCTGGTTTCCTCCACTTTGAGGTGGCATCAGCCCTTTTTACTCACCGCGTAGCTCATTTACTTCCAGACGTTGCGAAATAATGCATGTTTAAAGCTCGGTGTTTACAAAATGAACTTCCAATTTGTATATTTTGATAAAGAAATCATTAGCTGGGCATGTATTCTGAAGGATATACACCGTTCAAGCCATTCTAATAGTGTGTTACAAACCCTTGAAGACATTCCGCCTAATTAAGACCATCAAGAATTGTCAATTTAAAAATAATATAACATTTGAAAACATTGAAAACAAATATGGCCGTTTGTAATTATCAACTTTTAAAATATCATCATTTCGCTTACAACAATCTTTTTGATCGGTTCGCCTGGGGGGGGGGGGACTGAATTTTATGTTAAATCTATATTGACTGCACAGGCATTCAAATGATTAATGCAGTCTTATAAATGAAAAAGCCTACCTTTGTTGCAGTTCACCAACAATCCAAATGAAAGCAAGCAAAAAACAACGATTAACATTTCCATTCTTTACGCCGCTAGGTGACTTCTCTTTTGGCCCGTCCAGGAAAATTGTCGGCGGTTAATCACCTGTTTTCAGCACTTATACATAATTTCTACAGAGTATATGTAAAATACGTGAACATTTTATTCTAATAATTTCTTTTCGTGTGAGAAATTGAATTATTAAATATTGACGTATTTAATGACAAGTTAAAAGAGTAGTGGACATGTAAGAGGTAATGAGAAGAGCGTGTTTGCAGATATGTTGATATAATACAATATGCACAGCTTATATCAATATATCTGCAAGCAAGTCTTTTCTCATTGTTTCTTACATGTCCACTGTTGTTTTAATTCGTCATTCAATATAAAGCAGACTTGTCAAAGATACATGAACTTGCGAGACACTACATACCGCGGTACCAGTCAGCTACATCTCTTCATAAATTATATCAGTCGCTGATAAGACGTAGATACGGCATACTGTACTTGAATGTGCATTTTGAACCAATTTTAACACAATTGGGATGTGATGAAAATCATCTTCACAAAATGTCACCATTGTTTTTTTATCAGCGGTTGGATCAAAGAAGGGTCAATAAAGCTGTGCGGCACATGTCGCTGCTATCTCGTTCCTGGCGATAACTTTGAGTCTCGCGGGACCCTGAGCTCCTGGATGATTCACGGACTTGCTTCTTCTCCAGCAGCAGTGCAGTAGACCTATGCCACTAAGATATGATGTTACGTGTAGGGTGGGGTGGGTGGGGTACGGTGGGGTGCCCAACCCTTTTCCCCAGTACCTACTCAGAATATCCAAAACAAAATTACCCCAGCCTAAACTGCCAATTATCAATCAGATACAACAGCAGTCTATTCAATTCGATTTCATACGATGCCATTGGTTACTATCTAATCATCATTACAAAATAAACCATGTTTTTTTTTTTTTTTGCTTTATTATTTTAAGTTTTGTGTATAATTTATAAAGCCGACAAATACTGTTTAAGAACTTCTTCAGCCATACCAACAGGGATGTATTATTACTACTTTCACGATCAAGCATTTACTTTTAGAACTTTTTGTTTCAGAGGAAAAAAGCTAACAAATTTTATAGTGAAAGGGTATATACAGTATATGCACCAAATTTATGGAATTTTCACCTATTGAAATAAGAACTGCAAATGACTGGAGGAAATTCAAGTAACTTTTTAAGTTTCACATTGTAATCAAATAAAAGTAATTGATATATTAAAGGGATAATAGCTCTTCGTATGAGATTTATATTTCACAATAAAAACATTGTGAATAACTCATAGAAATATAATATATTCTGTTTTACCACAAAAACGGCAGTTATAGCTATTATTCTGATATCAGAGCTTGTCTTTAGACCACGTGACCTCCTTTGATGGCTATACTCTGTTAAAATCTCTTAAGAGATTTTAACAAAAAAACCTAACTTTTTTAAAAAAAAAAAAAAAAAAAAAAAAAAAAAAAAAAAAAAAAAACCGGGACTAACTTTGAATGTAAAAATGGATTCATTAATCATTGGTAAGTATGGGGAAATTGTTGTTTACTCCAGGAAAATTAATTTTTTGGCCAAAATGAAGAGTTATTATAACTTTAAGGTGACTGATAAGTATGGTTGTTTAAATTCTTCCATCTTTTATACATGTACCGTACTTAATTATTATTATAATTAGTAACTAGGTAGATTGATGGAGGGATGAAATTTCTAGTCAAACACTTGTGTGTATTAGGTGACTAAGTATACTAGATATTAATGTCTCTTGTGGGTAGTTAGGTTGTTACAGTATTACTGGTTTAGTTACTGATTATGTATACTTTAGATAACATAAAAGGTATTCACAAAGCGCTTTTGCTGATGTTGGTGGGTACGTTAAGGGTACAACGCAGCTATTGCGAGTGTTCCACTTTGAGGATGTGCTTATTGCTCTTTAGTTAATGATGGGCGACTGAATTTCTAGTAGTATACATACGGACACCGTAATAAGGGATACTTCACTTTAATAGTCTTAAAAGAGGGAGCAGAGCAATTTTAACCCCCCTTCCCTCTTCCAGGCAATATGAAAAGCTGATGATGTTAAAAAACACCCACACATATAAAGTCCTCCCCCCCCCGTCTCACCTAGCGTCTCACCTGCTGCAGTGTCCCTCGAGTTGTTTTTAAACAAATAAATGTTGACTTGCTGATGCCCGTCACATCAAACATTGAACCATGATAAGAGATTAGTATATACGAATTAATCTCTTTATGTACTATATACTGTGTGAAAGCCCTAAAAAATAACAGAAAAAATAACGTAGCCAAAGGCTAGGAAATGCCTTCAAAATATACTTTTAACAGTTATAATCAAATTCAAATTACGGCCACTATCTATCCACTGCCTGAAGGCAAAGCTAACACCTGTCATTGGTCAATATATCATTGTAGTTTGGGAGAAAAACGTGAAAAGAAGACTTCGGCTGATTTGCTATTACTATTATAATATAGATAAATGGAGTCCAATGAGTGCAATCTTGAAATCACTGTTTAATTATTTAATATAAATAAATAATTTTGCTTGTGAGTAAATATTTTGCTAATAAGGCTGACCATAATTTTCATCTCATGGGTAACAATTCCTTAAAGGTACTGTAAGGGATTTTAGTCATCCAGATGCCGCAAATAAGTTTTTTCTTGCATATTATTATTATTATTATTCAATAATGCATCTACGTTTGTGCTGATGAAAAACAATAAAAATCTATAAAAATGTATAATGTTTATATGTAGTCGTCAGCAGCTACGCTTTCTCTGAGGAATACCAGATTGGTTTAACCTCTATTATGAATGGAAGGCCATAGGTGGACAGAACTGCAACCATGAGCGCGATTTCCCAACTCGCAGTCTTCAGTTTATCTTTCCTGAACTTGACATAAAACATGTAATCTTCTTTCAAAAAAAAAAAAATGAAGAAAAATTCTTGCTTAATTAGAAAAAAGATATGCCCCAACGACGTACATGACGGCAATGAAATTGTCTGGATCATTCCTAGCAGCCGACAACTTTTCTTGTTTTGGAAATCGTTTTCTCAAAAGAAAACCTTGACGTGGGAGAAGAATCAAAAGCCTGTTGTTGACTGTTCCTCTTTGTCGGGTTTTTGCCACTTTACTCAAGGAATTTTGTTCACTTCCGTAACTTAAAAATTGTATCGATAGATCAGCCGGTAAATGCTTCAGCCAGCTGTATAGAATTTATTAATACAATTATCACAGTAAAGTAGTAACGTTAGTGCAATTAGTTTCTGAAAATGAACACGTTGCAAATATAACTGGAATTAAAGTAGAGGGTAATTGTGAGCTTTCTTGGCTGGGAACATTCTCGGCAGCAACAGCCGTCTCCAAGTATTGCGTTGTTAGGATGGGGCGGGTACAGTCAAACTGTAGGAACTACAGACTGCATTTTACGGATGGGCAAACACATGGGGTGGGAGTTTGTGCAGAAATCAAGCTTTTTGGAATTAACAAAATGGTGGAATTTACTAAGCCTTCCATTGTTAAACGGCTGTTTGTTTTGATTCAATTTGCTTAGTAATGACGTAAAATGATTCATTGTTTAGTGTATGTATTAAATAAAAAAATAGCGGACTTTGCCAAAACGACCTTTATTTTGCTCATTTTTTAGGTATTCCATTTGTATTTATACTGTTTAAGTGTAGGATCATGTCCCCCCAGCAAATCCCTTAATCCATACTTTTCGTATGTCCCAAACAAATAATACATATTTGTCCCAGGTCTAAACTAGTCTTGCATTCACACTGTTTATGTGTCTTTGATTGCGAAAAAATCCTGATAACTTGAAAAAATACAAACAGATTATGCAACCGTTTCATTCTCTCTTTAAGGGTGGCAGGCGTGCTGGAAGCCGCTGTGGAATGTTTTGATCGGTTTGATCAAATGGCCTGCTCACTGGTGGTAAATCATGTGGCACGGTGGCGCCACCAGTAGCCGAGACGTGACGCCTATTATCAGAAACAGTATGTTCGCCAGCTTTTCCAAACTGATCCTCGTGTAAACTGTCTGTGTCTTTTGATTGAAGCTTGTCGGAGCTCGAATGAGAAGGATTAGTTGAAAATTGCTTCAGTGTCGGGGGGATGGGTATGGCACCAGTTGCCGGAGGGACGTACGGAGTCTCACTGCAACCTTCTTCTTCTTGTGGGTTTTCTCTGTTGTCGTTTTTATCTTTTTGAGTTGAAGATGGGTCTCCATTTTCCTCGCCTACTGGGGAAGTTTGAATTTTCCTCCTGAATATAAATGTACATAAACAGGTCAATCAATCATTGGTATACGCACTATGCGTCTTCATGAAAGAATAGGTGAATAGGTTCTGCCAGACTTTTAAGCATATCAACTGTTACAGAAACTATACTTTGTAAATGGCGACCTCAACCTATTGAAATGATAGTTAGAGATTGGCCCACAGCTTGCATTGTTTAAATGTACATTGTACACGGAAGCGGCTCCATCAACATACATGTACAATATAACATTCATATAGTGAGTATGAAGGGCACAACTTGAAGAGTGGTCAAGTGATCATGGCATGAACGCATGGGGAGCGTCTCGATAGTCCGAAGGTTCAATATTGGTCTGAAAAATGGTAACATTTTCATCGGTTTTTTTATCGAAGGTTCATTGGTCTGAATGTTCTATAATTAACATTCAGACCAATGGACCTTCGGACTATTGAACCTTCGGACTATTGCTACGGCGACAACACATGCATGTCACTTGCTTAAACAGGAGCGCAATTTCAGTGCTTGCCATTTGTGCTATTTTCCGTCAATATAAGTCTGCAAATATGTAAAGCTAACATCAGAAATAAAAAGAATTTCAAGTAATTAGTCTTCACCTTTTCTTTCGTTTCAAAACCCACAAGGCCGTTGCTATGACAACCCGCAGAGCAAGATGACACCGGTGACAGCGGGTAGAATTATAGTGAGACCTTGTACAGAACCTTCGGGATTCATTTCACGTGCAGCTCCACCGCCACTGTCATTCTGAAAGGTGAACAAAGTTAAAATCATATACGTGAAAAATATCAGACCCGTGACGTAAAGTTCATTATGAAATCCGCAGTGTATGCTGATGTGTTATGTTGTTATAGATGGTGATATCGGTTTTAAAACTTCTGATATGAACAAATGACCACACAAATAATCATGAAAAAGAATTTAACAGTATATATAATATATATAAAAATATATTGATTGCATGTCTCGGCCAAAATTCTAACAAAAAATCATTAGATATTTCTTTTAAAAAGACAACTTACAGTCCCTGTAGACGTAATTCCCAGCCATGTCTTAGTCGTAGTTTCAACAGTGGGATTGCCAGTGTGTTGCTGCGTTTTCCCTGTCGACAAAGTCAACATCGTAGACTCAGGCGTTGTTTCAACAGTGGGATAGCCAGTGTGTTGCTGCGTTTTCCCTGTCGACAAAGTCAACATCGTAGACTCAGGCGTTGTTTCAACAGTGGGATTGCCAGTGCGTTGCCCCTTTTTCCCTGTCGACCAAGTCAACACCGGAGACTCAGGTGTAGTTTCAACAGTGGGATTGCCAGTGTGTTGCCCCTTTTTCCCTGTCGACCAAGTCAACATCGGAGACTCGGGTGTAGTTGCAACAGTGGGATTGCCAGTGTGTTGCCCCTTTTTCCCTGTCGACCAAGTCAACACCGAAGACTCAGGCGTGGTTTCAACGGCTAAATAGTCGGTGCTAGGTCGTACTCTTTCTGTCGTCAACATCAACTCCGGCATTTCAGTGGTGGTCCAATTTTCACCTAGAAAAAATAATCTCGCTGTTATGTCCACATTTTACCGTCAATATTCACTTATTAAATAAAGATATGAGAAATATCATCACATGTATGCTCTTATATGATGCATTTTTTTCTTTAAATATGTTTTTCTTTTATATCTTGCAGTTAGTCCAAAGTATGATCCTTATTGCAAAGAACCAAAAATCATCATAATCGTGTCATCTATGATACTTGATCGAAACAATTTTTTTCATTAATTCATAGGTTGAGTGAACAGAAAATCTTTCTGCAAGGGAAACATGTCAATATAATAGTGACTGTAAACTCCATTTCTAAGTCTCAGTCTTCAAACCATGATTGTGTAACGCAGTTGGTAGCAAGATGAGCTTTTACATAACATTTAGTAATTAAAACTTCTGTGTAATAGACCAATGCCACACCTGGCTTCCTGTGAATATATTAGTCACACCGCTGTCATCTCTATTTTTATCTCGGATTTTCTGCAAGAGCAATTCCAAGTGATTATCCTTTAATCTCTCAAAGGTACAGAGAAATCTTAAGCTATCTTGAAAGTCGGTGTTGGACGGTGCTACCTTAACTGAAGATGCAATTGTGACCATCGAGCCTTATGAGATTATACATTCGAAGGGCCGCACACGTATTATAGTAAGCGCCCAGTATTATGTTTATTAATCATCAATTACGGGTGAAAGTATTGTTTTATCAACGAGCATAATATAGAATAGAAGTTTAAGGCCAAGTAGCCAGTATAACTAGTAACTGTTTATATAAAGAGAATTATCCTGTCACCATCAGGCACGGTAAACAGTGACCTCACCCTCAAAATTCAGTATAAAGGGCGTCCCGATTTCTACACCAGAGAACTAACGCTAGACCGATCCCAGGGACGTCAGAGTGACCAGCAACGCCGAGAGCACGAGAGGGAGACTGAGGACTGAGGACGGCCGGGTCAATCAGAGCCTAGATCGAGGGAACGGTTGGGTCACTGTCTTACCGTAGCGCTGTGCCTACCTGAACTAGATGTCCCTGTATATGTAACGGGTTAAAGTAATAAACTGTATTAATAGGGAAACCTATCCTAGACTGTTGTGTCATTCTTACGAACCTCCGCGCACACGCCAAACAACCGCACCGACCCCGTTACAAAAGTGGTGGAGAAACCTGTTGTTTCCAGACCTCCCTGCCTGTTTCAGATGTCAGCGAGGCCAGAGAACTATTGGTCAACGCCTTCCGCAAATACCAGGCTTCGAACGTCAGGTAAGAAAGTGTCGTTAACAGCACTTAAACAGTCGTTCCCCACACCTCGTGAACCCAACTCACCAACGTCTACCTCCCGTTCCCGCTCCTCGTCTCCAGACCTATCAAGCCTTTTTCAACCACAGCCAACAACCAGCGGTAAAACAACTACCGACAACCCTGTTGATCCGCCAACGATCTCAGTTGAAGCTCCTCAACCACCTTCAGAGCAAGATTTAGAATCAGCTGCTTCGTCAGATACAGAAAGTGATAGAGACTCGACAACTTCCGTCACCTCGTTATCTTCCGCTCCGTCAACCCCTCCTCCGCCCACCTACGATATGTCGTCAGATTTAAGCTTGTTGCCTGAAAAATTCCATGGCACTCAAAATGAGGACCCTGATCGTTGGTTGTCGCACTTTATGAACTATGCAAAGTTTAAAGGCTTAACAGACGCACAGCAACGTTCATCGTTTCCTCTACTTCTTCGAAACGCTGCCCTAGATTGGTTTGATACGCTCTCTGACGATGAGAAAAACACAATGGACAACATCGCTGAATCCTTCAAAACTAGGTTCCAGCCGACAGCGAGTTCAAAGTGGGCTACTGTTTCTAGCTTATTTCAGCGTTGCCAGAAACCGTCACAGGCAGTACAAGACTACATTGCTGAGGTACGTAGGGAAGCGCAAAAAGTAAAATTACCAGATGAGCAAACTATACAGGCCATTCTTCATGGCCTACTGCCTGAGATTCGACCGTTCGTAGCACAGCACGAGCCTAAAACCTTTGAAGATCTAATCGCTCGCGCTCGACAGGCCGAAACAGCGGTTCAACCCTCAGCTTCCGCTGCGACTTTAACAGCCCTGGGTACACAGCTGACTGAAATCAACAACAAAATCTCTCAGTTAGCCACGCCGCAGCCCAACTCCGCACAGTTGAACCCTATACATGCTCCAAATGACAGACCAAGACCTTCAGAGTACCGATCAGCGCCCCACCCCGGTGTTCCTTTCCGCGACTACGAGTTACGCCCACGTGTTCCTCAAGCGCAGCGAAATCAGACGATGCCTCCACGTCAACAGACACGCCAATGGAATCAACGCTATAATAACCAGAAACGGACTCCATGTTCTGGTTGCGGTGGTGAGTTTCATTTACGTAGATTCTGTCCTGCTTTTCATTTAACATGTAGAAATTGCGGTAAAGTTGGTCATTTGGCGAAAGTGTGTAGGTCATCTAAGAAACAATGACGAGTAGAGTCGCAAGAACAGGCTGGATCTATTGGTACGATATCGGAAAAATCTTTACAAAATTCTCTTTTTATTACAATCAAAAACAAAAAGTTCAATGGTCTTCTTGACACTGGCGCTAGCATCAGTTGTGTTTCCAAACAAACGTTTCAAACTTTAGGCATTCCTTTTTCTGACCTTGCCCCTCCCTCTAAAATTACAACAGTAAGTGGAGTGAGTGGCGACGCGCAAACAATTTTGGGCCTTGCATGTCTCAAATTTTTCATCGGTAAAGTGGAATATACCCATACTTTTTGCGTTGTTCCAATATTACCCCGACCTTTTATTATTGGCTTGGATTTTCTGCATGACCATAGTGCAGTGATTGATTTACAAACACATGAATTGACTCTACGCGATCCCGATAGCACGGTATGTTTGACGATTTCAGACAATTTAGGACTTGCTAGATCAAAATCTACTGTGACCGTGGAGCCTTTCACGGAACGGTTAGTGCAAGTTCAGGTTTCCCGCATACGTCCTGACAAAGGTGGCTCGACGCTTGTTCTTTTAGAACCGTCCTCAAATTTGAATACTATTTTAGGTGCCTCTACCATCAATACCTTGACTAACAGTCACTGTCATTACCGCGTTGCTAACACTACGCCTTATAGTTATACAATCTATGCAAACTCCATTGTGGCTAAAGTGTCACGCATAAGCGCAGGTAATTTGCACCACCTTGACTTCACTCCCACTCAGCCCCCTACCATTAAACCGATCAGTGAGGAAGATAAGAAAGCGGCCTTAGAACTTAAAATCCCCTTTGAGTTATCTCATCTCACATCTGATCAACAGGACCAATTATTGTCACTCATAGGTAGCAATAGAGATGTGTTTGCTACAAATTTGTCTGAAATAGGTCATGTGCCCGTTTACAAACATACTATTGATACCGGTGATCATCCCCCAATCACCCAAAGGTTTTATAGAACAACTCCTCAAGCAAAAGCTGAAATTGATCGCCAGATAAATGAAATGCTGCATCATGATATCATTGAACCTTCCACCTCTCCTTGGTCTTCACCTGTTATTTTGGTACGCAAGAAACAAGGTGACTTTCGATTTGCAATTGATTATCGGAAATTGAATGCTGTTACTAAATCAATAAGCTTTCCTCTTCCACGGTTAGAGGACATTTTTGACTCGATAGCTGATTCCAAGGCAACTTACTTTTCCTTAGTTGACATCAATACAGCATTTTGGACCATAGCGTTATCAGACGACTCTAAAGAAAAATCATCGTTTGTCACGCATAGTGGTCAATATCAGTTCAAACGTTTACCGTTTGGGCTGAAAAATGCTCCAGCAAGCTATCAATATCTAGTGAGTAACATATTTCGAAACATGAATTGGAAAAATGTCATCATTTACATCGATGATATTCTTTGTTTTTCAAAAACATTCGAAGATCACCTGGCACATCTGCAAGAAATGTTTCACATTTTGAGACAGGCAAACCTGAAGTTAAAGCCCTCTAAATGTTCATTTTGTGTCCCAAAAGTTTTGTATCTTGGACATAATTTATCTCGAGATGGAATTCAGGTAGATTCTTCAAAGACAGAAGCAGTTCAGTCCTTTCCTACCCCCACTAATGTCAAACAAGTCCGTAGTTTCTTGGGCTTAACGACATGGTATCGCCGTTTTATCAAAGGTTACAGCCATATTGCAAAGCCTTTAAACGGTTTACTTCATAAAGAAGTAAAATTTCAGTGGACCAAGGAATGCGACACTGCTTTCAAAACGCTAAAACAGGCGTTAGTAAACCCTCCAATTCTCAAATTTCCCGACATGTCAAAACCCTTTATTTTGACAACAGATGCCTCTGGGCATTCACTCGGATACATCCTGGGTCAGTTAGATGATAAGGGACGTGAATGTGCAATTAGTTACGGTGGCCGATCTTTATCGGCGTCTGAACAACTGTACCCGATTACACAACTTGAGTGTCTAGCAGTCGTAGAAGGTGTTAAAGCTTTCCATGTTTATCTGTCTAGTCAACCTTTTACGATCTATACCGATCACCAAGCACTTAAATGGCTTAAGCAAATCAAACATTCTTCACCCCGTTTGATCAGATGGGCTCTTGCTCTGCAGGAATACGATTATACAATCGTACACCGTGCAGGTAATAAAAATCCCGCTGACGCATTGTCACGGCGCACTTACCAAAGGTCTGAGCCTATTCAAGCTATTACAGCCCTGCCTTCGGTTGACTCAACACGAGAAATTAACACAAAATTTATTCATGATATAGGCCCCACGAAAACAGATGCTCCAGTTCACATTATTCAACATATCATTGCCACCTCAGAGCCTGATGTTTTCACCATTCTTCCCTCTGTGGAAAAAGAACAATTATCCCAATTGGCCCAAATGCAACGACAATGCGATGACTTCAAACATATCATTGCATATTTGCTAAATGGCACTCTCCCAGATGACGCCAAAT